GATAACCCTAGGTGCCAGCGCAAAGAAACAGGGCAAACTGAACCTATCACTCTCCCTGATAGGGTTTCTAGCCTGGCAGATCCAGGCAAGGCCATAGACACCCCAGATCTCTCAAATGCAGTATTGTTTTGAAAAAAATGAATGAAAATATGTGCCCAGGATTAGGGCACAGTTAGGAGAATCATTGTGTGGTGAACAAAGGAGGCTGAAGGGTATTATTAGTGGATGGTTGTAAAACAGGAAGGTGGTGACATGCCACGGTTCTCTGTCCTTGGCCTGGTCCCATTCACGTATTTGTTCACTCACTCACTCACTCACTCACTCACTCACAAGCATTAATTGAATGGCAATGATATACTAGGGCTTACGTCAAGAACAGGGAATTTGGGATGGACACCAAAATGTGCCATGCAGAATCTTCTTCAGAAGGGTTCCTTGCACCAGCTGCTGGAAGGGCTATCGGCAGCCTTCAATTGTCAGCACCTCAGGATCTGCCTCAACTGCAGAGTGCTACCTAACCCAAGGGCATGCCCCTTCCTAGTGTGGCCCACATCAGAGCACTGATTGATTGAGCAGTATCAAGGTTATTCATCTTAGCCAAACTCACACTAACTCTGAAGGCTCCTACTAGTTCCCGAGTTTCCCTGGGATCAGCTCAGGCTGTTGCTAGTTGTGTAAAAAAGCTCAACTTCTCCCTCTGCCTGCCCCACACCACAGGTATTAAGTCTAAGGTCACTCCTTAATAAACATCCTGCACACTAAACTTGGAGTTGGAGTCATTCTGCTTCTTGGAAAACTCATTGGTAAAAGAAGGGGCTTTACCCTTTGTTCATCCTTTAAAGAGTACAACTACAATCAAGGACAAAATTACATATTTGGTTTAATAAAAGGAAGATTTTTCTTTCAACAGTGGAACAATCTGCCTCAAAAAACAGTGAACCTGCATAAGCAGAGGGACACTGTACTGTTGTTGGAGCGTCTCTGTTCACCCTGCTGTTAGCTAACAAGCAGCACAGTATCACTAGTATTTATAAATTAGTGATTAGAAAATTATTTTAGAACATTCTGGATTCAATAGGCACTGGAAATAATTTTAAACATATATGGGAAGAAATCCCATTTCCTAATGAACTCCCTGAAATAATTTGAGATTACTTAATTCTAACCTTAAGATGCAGATACAATATAATTCAGGACATAGTGGCAGAAACTAACTGTCAAAGTCCACCAATGGCCATTTGTTCTTTTGTCTTTTAGTAATAAAACCCTGAATGTTAGCTGGCTACATGTTTATCTAGCAAAACACTACATTTTCCAGACTCCCTTGCAGTGAATGTGTCCATGTGATTAAACTGTGGTAGTGGGATCTGGGTGGTAGTGATGCGTGCAACTTCTGAGTTAAACTCTTAAAGAAAACCTCTTTCTTTTTATTTCTTCTTTCCTCCATCCCAAGGCTGGTACATGGAAGTACTTGTGGTGGTAAGGCAGCAGTGCCACTCTAGGAAAGGGGAAGCAATAATGCAGAAAATTCCTGGGTTTTTGAGTGACCACTGGAGTAAGACTCTTTTACCTCTGGACTGCCTATCAGCTTTGACTTTTATGTGGGAGAGAAAGAAACCACCTATTTAGTTTAAGCCATTATTATTTTGGTCTCTGTTAAAAACAGCTTAGCAAATATTCTAACTTACACAGATGCCAAATCAACATCTCAAACCTGGGTGATGTTCATTCTTTGCCCTGTAAGCATGGTATCTTATCAGCAGACTGGAACATGATAAGAATAAGAACTATTACCTTTACCTGTGAGTTAACTCCTGTATTATCCTTCTGCCTTTTTGGTGTTCTGCCCCACATTATATTTTATTTCTATATAAAAATCAAGGGCTAAGGTAAAATCTGGACTACAATTATGTTTATTTGTCTAACTATACAGTAGGATTGTTGCCAGCAATTAAAATCTTGATTTGTCTTGCTGCTGAGACTTTGTCTTGAGAAGTAATTTTCAGATAAGTTTATATAGTATATATACATAATTATATGATTCATTCATTTCTCCCATTTAATTCATTAATTTGACTGTCCAATATATATAGCAAAACTATTCAAGTAAAAAAAAGACCAATTCATGATAAAAGAGATCAAATTAGTTATAGTTCATGGATACATATTAACAAATAAATGAAAAGAATAAGTGAGGCACAACTTTATCTTAAAAACTTCAAAAGAAACATAAATCAGAAGTCCAACGTAAATCATTGTTATGAATAATTTATTATTTGACATTTCCTCATTTCTATTAATGTAATGATTGATGCTTTTGTAGTATAAAAACCATAGCTTAAATAAAACATTCTGATATATCATTAACTGGTGTAGACCCTATTTCTTTTTTAGTACCTGAAGAAAATATAGATGTATAATTGTCTGCCCTTTGGGCTGGAAACATGTAACGTCCAAAATCATTGTCATTTTTATCATGGCACCAGCTGGATTTCAGGTTATTTCTACTTATCTGGCTCTGGAGAGGAAGTGCTACATATGTCATTTATTAAATATATGTACATGATTGGGCGCGGTGGCTCATGCCTGTAATCCTGGCACTTTGGGAGGCCGAGATGGATGGATCACCTGAGGTCAGGAGTTCGAGACCAGCCTGGCCAATGTGGTGAAACATTGTCTCTACTGAAAATACAAAAAGTAGCCAGGCATGGTGGTGAATGCCTGTAATCCCATCTACTCGGGAGGCTGAGGCTGGAGAATCACTTGAACCCGGGAGGTGGAGGTTGCAGTGAGCAGAGATTGTACCATTGCTCTCCAGCCTGAGCAACAGAACAAGACTCTGTCTAAACAACAACAACAACAACAACAACGATAACAACACTATCTATATCTGTATCTATCCGTATCTACCCATGGGTTATCAAGGAGAGGGCAAGGATTCTAAAGCCAAGAATATGTTTTCAGTTACAACCGCTCTTTAAACTTATGTGCATCCAGAAACATGCTCACCCTTTCCTAAAGTAATGATAACAGCTCACTCTTCCACACCAAGTATGAAAAATTATAAATATTTAGGAATCACAGGAATAGGAGATCCAGGTTCTCACATCATAGAGAACAAAGTGGAGGTGTGGGTGCTGGGAATGGGAGCTGAGGGTCCCTTGGTCTGTGGTGTTGTTGATTTGCAGAAACAGAGTAACTCCGAGGTCACTCTCTCTGGGTGTCTCCATCTAGTTTTCACTCTGCTTCCCTTAACACTGTTTCATCAGAATCTTAACCACACCATGTCAATATATTTCCTTAAAAACAGATGTTGCAAAGAGCTCAGAGTAAACCACCACTTTTTGCTGCATCCTCAGCAATGTATCTGGCTGGAGGAATAGCTACCAGGTAACTTAGCCATGCATATTCTATTCAACAGAGGGAATCTCTTCTTTCCTGGATTTAGCTACATTCCGGCAAACATCCACTATGTTTCTGGGACTCTGCCAGTACATTTGCTTTCACATAATTTTCTTCACTTAATCCTCTGAACTTGCCTTCTTTTACTTACCCCAGGTAGCTTCCAAAGGGCCAGTTTATTATACAGAGAATAAACTCAGAGAAGTGAATAAAATAAACTGCACAGACATGGCTATAAACTGGTTTTAGACACTTAAGGAGATTTTTAGTAAAAAATATTATTCAGTAAGTGAAAAATAATTTGAAAGATGCCACTGAAAAGTGAAAGAGTGTGCATTTAAAATACCACCATTACTAGAACTCACAGGCCAATATGTAACTATAAAATCTGCACCTTCCATTGCAGAAGGAAAAGAAAACTAATACATTTCATGCTTCCCTTTTCAAGAAGACATCTTAAAGTAGCAGGGGAGTATATGATTAAAAATTGGTTTAAATATTGTTTATTGTGGTTAGTTACTCTTAGCAATCATTTTGGTTGTCACCAACAGCAGCGATCAAGTCCGTTATAAGCATTAAACACTAAAGAAAGCATCATGATAGACATTTTTCATCCCAGTGAGGCAAAAGTTTATTCTCAAAGACGGATGATTACAACTCATTTAGAAAGGTTAGTTGAGATGTTTCCTGAAGCATCTTGAAAATGGTTCAGCGTTTATTAACTGCCCTGTTCAAGGGGAATGCTGTACAGAGATCTCATCTCTCTAAAGAAGATGCCAAGAACATATTAGCTGCCAGTTTGAGAGCCTTCATCTGTTCCTCACAACCATTTTTAGAAAACAATGGTGGCATTTATCAAACAGAGAAAAAACTGTAAATGTTGGAACACAGAATTCAGCAATTAGAGAAATTTAGTAGCTGGGAATTGGGGAATGGAAGTGCAAATTGTGCAAAAATACCTCTTTTTTAACCCTGAGTCTTAGTTTGTCTAGAGGAAAATACCTATTTGAATAATATAAATAGAACAATTACTCATATCTGAGGTACCTTAAAGATAAGATTATTTAAGTCAACTTGATAATACAATAGAATGAAGGATATAAGTCTTAAATTCCATTTAGACTATGATTTTGATTAATTTTTGGTTTTAGAGCATAGCAATACAAAAAATAACCAGTTTCCTTCCATGTATTTTCACGTGATGTATCATAGAAAAGGAAACTAAGATGGGTTTTTAAAAATCACTGTTAGCAAATCTGTGAACTTCATGTTGTTTCTAGTTGCTAAGTCTGCATTAGAGATAAGTCTGGATAATCTTTATTATTTTTTCTTTTTAAAATGCTTGCAGGAAAATAAGTCAAAAGAAAATGTGGTTCCATGTGTTTTTCACCATTTTGAAAAGCACAAGGACTGCAATATAAAATAAGTACAACTTTCTCAAGTTAGAATGAGCTTGTTAAGGTCTATAGAATTCATTACATGGTGACCATATGCAGGCTTCAATTTAAGGAGTTTCTGATTGACTTAATGCATACAGGCAGAACATAGCTCTGTTCAATCTCACTAAAGTTCAACACACACACACACACAACACTCACCACTGGTGATGGGGAAAGTGCGATGTTGCCTATTGATGCCTTCAATTCATCTACAGTTGCAGCATTCTTAAGAATGTCTTTAGATTGCAATGGTTTAATCTTGATATTAAATTTCTTATGTGATTCTTCTTCTTCTTCCGATTCACTCGAAGAATAGAAGTGCTTTCCTTTGGTAGGTAGAACACAGTTAAAGATACATAACTCTTTCTTCTACTGGGAGGCAACCACTCTAAGACAAGAGTGTTTGCATATAGAGACAGCAAAAGTATCCTTAGATGGCAGAAAATCAAAGCAAAACATACAGAAGTAAAGGAGGAAAGGGTTAGAACTTATTCACCTTTCCTCAGAACATGATCAAAGATGGTGAATTTCACGAAGCAATGGTTCTAATATTCTACATTTTTGCAGCGGTCGGCCATTTGTTGTGTCATACTCTGCATACACAGACAAGCACATGTGAGCTGACTCATCTACAGAGAGAGGAAGGCTGCTTTACAGATGATCCACGAGAAGTTTTAAATGCATCAGTGTGACATGCTTTGCCCAGGAATGAATTGTAGGGAGAGGACAGTAAGAGCTATTTTCTAGTCACTATAAATGACAGTCACATCAGGGATTAGCAGACAGCCCAGTACCCACCATTTCCACAGTTGTTTTTCCAGCACATTTTTCTCTTTCTCCTCTCTCTTTTCTATGAATAGATTAAGGCAAAATGCCTGCTTGCTAGAGCTCAGGCTGTTCTCAGTGCTGTTGATTCATCTCTAATATTAGGGATAACAGGACTTGTGAAGATTAGGTTATTTCATTACTTTTGTAAAATCTGAATTTATCTTACTGTTTCTTGAGAGTGAATGAAAATTAGAATAAAAAAATAAAGAAAGGATATAGCCGGGTTCCTCCGGTCTGATGCTGTAGCCTTCTTCATCCAGCTCAGGTGAGTTCTATAAAACACAAGTGCATATGAAGTGATTATTATCCTAACAGTGATCAAGAAATTATTTTTTTTCTAGAGTCTTCTATTTAAGCATATAGAAAAGTCTTTTCTTTTAGGAGATGAAGCTTCTAACTTTTGGAAGTGAATTTTGAGCAATATGTTTAGATATTTACTCAAGGATACTTGGAGGGTCCTCCTACTGGGAAAATAAACGAGGAGGAATCAACTGTCAGTGAAAGAAAGCATTCAAACAGAATTTAACATTCATTTCCTGTAAGCTAAGGACTGTGCTAAGCAACATGGGTGATAAGAAATGCAGATTACTTGTCCTCAGGGAAATTGAAATGTGTTTTGGTAGGAAAAAATTAAAAAGAAAATATAAAACACAAAACACCTGTGTTAGACAGGGTTTAAAGAAGAGGAAATTAGTGAGGTTTAAAAGAATCAGAGAGGTCTTTATGGGTCTTTCAGGACAGACAGGAGAGGGCAGAGTGGGAGCTCCTTCTAGATGGTAAGAAAGAGCCTGTTCAGATATACCAAGATGGGAGCAGACACTGGGTGACTCAGATGGGGAAACAGAGGGGAAACAGCAACGGTGACATGGCTAGAGAAGAAGCTGACAGCGGGAGATGGGGAGATGAGACTATGGAGGCCAAGAGGCCAGGGGAAGAGTTTGGACTTGAGGTAGCTACTGCAGCTTCTCAGCTAGGGTGGGGCATACTGAAAGCAGGATCTTAAGGAGTTCTGGAAGTATGTTCCAGGATAGCCTTGGGGCAGAAGAACTGGAGAAAGAAAAACTAATTCAAAACATGTGCATCCATTCAGGCAAGATGTGCTAAGGACATGGATCGAGTTATCGGTGGGATGGGATAACTCAAGGATATTTGAAAGGATGGATTGTTGGTTCTTGGTAACAGATCAGTCACAGGAGAAAAAGCAGAGGGAAGGTTAAAGAGGAATCCAAGATTTCTACCCTCAAATTGTGGGAAAGTGCTGGTACTCCAAGTTGAACTAATTCTAACAGCAGACAACTAACATTTTTTGGAAAGAAGCAGAAAACATAAAAAGGCAGTTTGTACTGTTGGGATTAGAATGATAGTATTTGGATTCTTACTACATGGTAAACATTGTGACCCACACTTTACCTCACTGAACCACACAACAAACATATGTGAAAAGAATTATCCCATTTATCAAGGGGGGAAATAAGAGAAATCAGACACCATTTCTCAAGGAAACACACCCAGCAAATGTCAGATCTAGGTTTTGACCCCAGCTGTTTCAGACTATACCCTATGTCCTACAGGGGAGGAAGATGAAGCATTTGTAGGTGGCCCTGTTGAAGTTGAGGTTGTAGGTCTGTCCGTGAGAGAAGGCAGAGTTGGAGAGTTAGTTTGGGAGTTAATAAAGCAGTAAAAGTGCCATAACCATGGAGAGAGAAGAGGGTCTACATACCAAGGAAAAAATCCCATTAAATAAATTCATTTTTATTGTCTATAGTTAAGATATACAACATGTTTTGATATGCATATACATAGTAAAATGACTACTACAGTTAAATTTACATTTCTATTACCTTCTATAGTTGCCCTTTTTATGTGTGTGTGTATGATAAGAGCACCTAAACCGTTAGCAAATGTTTAGTACTTTAGATATCTAGACTTCATCTCACCTTACTGCAAATTTGTACTCTTTGAGCTACTTCTTCCATTTCCTCTCTCTTTTTGTCCCTGCTGACTACTTTTCTACTGTTTCTATGTATTTAACTTCTTTTTCTTTTCTTTCTTTCTTTCTTTTTCTTTTTTTTTTGAGACAAAGTCTCTCTGTTTCGCTCAGGCTGGAGTCCAGTGGTGCGATCTCAGTTCACTGCAACGTCCGCCTCCCGGGTTCAAGCGATTCTCCTGCATCAGCCTCCCATATTTGACTTCTTTTTAGATTCTGCATATAAGCAAGATCATACAGTTTTTTTCTTTCTGTGTCTGAAACTCACCATGTTTTTGAGCATTTATTGTGGTCTTCCTCTTTTCCTCCTTCTTCAGTTCTCAGAGGTGCTTTTTTTTTTTTTTTTTAAATACAAGTGTATCGAGGTCACTTACCTGCTAAAAACTGCCCCTGGCTTCTCACTGCATTTAGAATAAAAGCCAAGTGCCTCTGTGTAGCCAATAAGACCCAGCAGGGCTGGCTCCTGCCCCTCTCTCTAGCCTTGCATTTGTAATTATCTTCCACTGATCCCCTCTCAGTCACATGTTCTCTCCTTCCCAATGTTTGTGATTTGGGTGCTGCAAACCTCATCAGTGCTGTTCCCTCTGCCTGCAATTCTCTTCCCCCAAATGTTCAGCCAGTTAGCCTCTATGTATATGTTAGGCCTTTGCTCAGAGGTCACATCCTCCCTGAAGCCTTTCCTGCCAAAATCAGGTTGACTTACCTCTATTCTCAAAACTTCTAAGAAGTAGGACCAGGGTGGAAACACCCAGATTTAATATTAGAAAAGCATTTTTTGAGCAAATACTATAGGCTAGGCAGGTTACTGAAATGTTTTGCAAATAATTAGCTCATTGAATCCTTGCAACAATGACACGCGGTCATTGACTTCTTTTTTGCTACTCGGCAAATAACTTCTCCAAGGCCACACACAGCTGATACGTGTAGGGGCTACATCAGGGGTGTCCAATCTTTTGGCTTCCCTAGGCCACACTGGAAGAAGAAAAATTATCTTGGGTCACACATAAAATACACTAACGTTAACAATAGCTGATCAGCTAAAATAAATAAATCAATCAGAAAAAATCTCATAAAGTTAGACAAGCTTGCACAAGATCTTAAACTCAGTTCTGACAGACTTTATTGCTCTTAGCCCCATCCTAACTAGGCTAGGCACTTCCTAATGACATGATGAGTATTTCACTTATTTCTAAGTCCTATTATAAGAATACCTCAACTCATTTTTAAGCTGTAAAATACTTAATAAAGAGAAACAATCTTCTGATACTCACATATCTTTCCCAATCAATTTCCGCATAAAATCCATTTGGTGCTCCATTGCTTTTCTTCTGTAATAAAGTTGAAAATGAATTTAGAAGGAAAATATTTGGATAAAAACAAAGGAACAAAGAACATTGAACTCTTATCTGCATTTAGCAAGAGCTATCAAAATCCAGCACTGGAAAGACATATTAGAGCAGCTTATTAAGGAGCCACATTTATGTAACGGAATGGTAAATCTAGCTGCCGTGACACTGCATAAAAAAGCCTACGTACTTATTTCACAAAAGATTGTAGGATACTGAGGCACAGGGATATTAACGATGAAGTGTTCAAATTTTATTCAATTACTGAAGAATTAGCAGCACCTTTATTATAGTTGAATCCTCTAAACCTACAGGAGATATAGCCGTGTATATACGTATTTTAAATGGAAACATTTTTACCTCCATGCTGCTATTATATACAATTAGTTACAACATATCCAAAGAGTACTCATCCAAGTCATTAATTAATCTTTTAGCATTTTAGCCCCGACTCAATTTTTTTGTAACTACTCCCTTGATAAAACATAGAGGAAGTCAGCTCCACAAAAGTTTATTCAGCTCCTAGTTATTAAAAATAATGTTTTTAAAATGACTTTTCTTATCAAATTTTAAAAATAGAATTTGAGGATTAACGGTGGATTTTTGTCATTCGTGTGATCTGTGCCTCCGTGAGCACGTATCATTGCAAGTTGACTGGATGTTAGTACTACTCTCTTCTGATTATCTTAAAGTTTTCTTTGTCCCCTAGTACAGCCATGACACATGGCTACAAGCACTTGAGCAAAGATGTGGCATCACCCAAACAGATATTGCCAAGATTTTCTATGTCTTGTGAGCAAAGGACAAACACAAATCAGGTTGGTAATGGAGGGTGCATTCAACATTCTTATATTTAGCACATGGGACAAGGGTATGTCACTGCGCATAGCAGATCTCAGCACAACACACATCAAATGGTGATGCATGAGGCTTGGACACAGGACCTCTAATTTTGCAATAACAAATAAAGGCCACTTGAACTGCAATGTAAACAACTAATACCCAATTTGACAAATAGGTGGAGAAATAAGCTTTTTATGTGTGCACATAGGATCACTAGATAACCCAGAATAATCATCATCATTGAATAACAGTGAATGTTGACTAGGTATTCTATGGAATAGCAGGGCTTTGGCAAGGGTAAATAATGCACAAGAAATAGATAATGTGTTCATGCCCTCTGTCTTCCAATATACTACCATGGCACTAGAATTTACAATTATAAGAACTGGGCCATGCTTTGCCTCCACAGACCAGCATCCATGGACATAAGGTCTGTGACCATCTCCCTCTCTGTCCCACTCCTAACATAGATTATTTGTATGCAGACTACATCATTTTAATCTTCTCATATAATTGCCTTCCTTGAATTAGTGCTTCGGTGGTATTTCTTCTACTTTGAACAAAGGTCTTTGTAAAACCTGTCATATCAACTCTGCCTGTGTATACCTTACAAAGCTACTGTTGAGAACTGGTCCATTACATAATGTGACACTTAATACAAATGATTCTCTCACTCGGGTGTAGACAGGGCTCCTATTTTCTCTTTATCATATTTACTTTCTCTTTTAATTCCTGCTTTACCAATTTGTTTGTATATGACTTCTTTGCAAAGTGCTCCACTCCTTCTTAGAAAGCATATATAACAAACAAGTTCAATATAGACATTTAATTTATATTGATAGGAGATCAAAAGGACTAAGCAGATTCCAGAGAAGTAAACTCATGAATTTTGTGATCTAGGATTGTTATCCAAAACCACAGATTAGATAAATTACTGAGTTCAAAATTTTCAAAGTTCTACAGTTTGCTTCCATGATAATCTCATCTTTGTAACTAAGGCCCTTAAAAACCAAGATGGCTTATATGTTCAGCTAAACAGTTTATATATATATACACACACACACACACACACACACTTGTTTGTGTGTATGTATGTATGTGTGTACATATACATACACACATATATACATACACATGCATATATATAAATAAACATACACAGATACCTACACACACACACAGACAAATATATATATATATATATGTATATTTGTTTTTCTTTCTTTCCTGACAACATATATCTAATATTGTAGAAAGAAAGGTGAGTTCTAAATCTGACGATCTAGGCAGAGTGAAAATTTCCCAGTTTGCATGAAAACCAAAGGAAGACTGAGATAAAAGGGAAGCAAAACTTGTAGAAATTTTTTCTTCAAAAATAGGGACACTTTAACAACAAATACTAAAAACAAACAACAAATCATAACAATACATTATTTTTCGTAGATATTCAACACACACATGCACACACACACACACACACACACACACACACACGGCTTTATTAGAGGAATTTGGTCTCAGTTATGCCAGTGGATTATTACAAATATCTTTGGTTTTCCAAGTGGAAATTATCAAGTTAAAGCTAAGTCAGAGCCTGGATGGAATTCTTCTGGCCCAAACCCAAGAAAAAAACAATTCTTTGTTGGTTTAACCATTGAGAAAGGTGCAACTGTAGTACTAGTAATAGTGAAGATAACGAGTCTACTGATTTTCAAATGGAAAACTTTCAAGAAGAAGAAGCAAGGAAGAATATCAGTTACTTGGGGAAACACCACTTAAAAACCAGGCTTAATAGTGAAAGAAGTATCAGTTATTTACCAACATATAAACAATGATTTTTCTCTTAGAATTGTAATTATATAGATTTTTACCTCTTCCTTTTATTTTGTATGTTTTAAAATTCAAAAATCCTACCTTTAGCATAAGTAACTTTTATAACTTGAATATGACTATTATTTAAAGATAATTGAGGCTCACAGTGATGCTAATCATGTCTTCATAGGTATTTTACTTTGGTTAGCATATATTATCTGCTTTTATATAATATGATGGGCTAAATAGATAAATATAGTGACAGTTATGTTCAATCATACACTCATCAAAGTTCTCAATTTCCATTGGGAATGCCTCTGGTTTTCAAGGTCAGCTCATGGCCAGGTAATTATCCTTGGGTGGGGCATGTTAAAGGTACATAATGTACTGCGTAAATATTATCTTTTCTCCCCTGAGGTAAACTTGACTCACTTTGTAAATAATTCTATAGAACAGCACTGCCCAATAGAAATACCTGTGAAGATGGCAATGTTCTACCTGTGTGCTATCCACAATGGCAGCCACTAGCCACAAGTGGCTATGAAGTACTTGAAATGTGTCAAGTGCAACCGAGGAACTGAATTTTAATTAAATAGTCACATGTGGCTACCATAATGTACAATACAGCTATAGGTACCACAGAGTTTGGGCTAGGGTCAGCATCCCTGACTCAATGTTCTTTGGTCAAATACACTGGTTCCTACAGATCAAATTTCTGCCAAATTCCTGATGTTATTGAGATAGTGCTTATCCTAAGAAATGGCTACTCATTTTATGTGGTGATATTTCCTTTATGGCCAAAGGCTTCTTTATAGATAGTAGATTCTTTTTAAAATTTGAATTCCTGTCCTTTGTTGATGAAACAGGAAACACACATCTTTTATGTGTGATTACTCTTTAAAAGTACATTCAGATGTCAGTCCATAAAGTCTACGTGGTTAATTTAAAAATTGGCCCCAGATATTCAAGAAGTAATTTGGAAATACCTAAGAGTTTTCTTAAATGGAGTAAACAAAAACTACTGTGTTTTCCAAATTTTAAATTGGGATTTTACTCACTGTTTTTAATAACCCTTTGGAAATTTTAAACTAAAATCTGTTTCCTTACCGAAACTTTTTTTCCTCCTTCACGCGCACACTCTGCTTTGCTATTGTAGGGTGGTTCGTGTGGGCTGGGCTGCTGGAATTGATTGTTTTCATGTAGAAAAAAGTGGTTAAAAGATCTGCTTGTTCTTCAAGACACATATAAAGAATTACATGGAGTCAGCAAACATACCATAGAAGAAACCATCTCTAGGCCAAATCATACGGCCTACCAATCTTGGCAGGGTTCCTTAAGCAAAGAGTGGACTTTGGGGCCCATAATGAGGCTCTATTCAGCAGGCCAGCTTGGCTAGGCCAAGAGAAGAAGGGAGGAGGAAGAAGATGTGTCCCAGGCACCAGGGACCATGTGGATCTATTTCTCATACAGCCAGCATTTAATTTACACGTAGAGAACAGGCACAAGGACACACAAGAAGAGACTGAATAAAAATGTGTGTATTTCTAACCTAAGTGGGAAAAGTTCAGTTTAGCCTGGATCAAAGCCTTCCTGCGGGTCACCAATACATACAGCACACACAGCTGTCAGCTCCAAATCTGTGCCCTTTCCTGCACACCTGTTCAGGGTGATAAAAAAATGACCTTCGCACAACAAGGGCTATGACCCTGTTGCTCCAAGTTTATGTGTGGAGGGAAACTGGAACTGCTTAGAAAAAAGTTAGTTTGCCCTGCACAAATTAGAGTTTGTGTCTAGGTTAGGATGCATCGTCACACTTGGACACCATGACAGACAGCTCTGCCAGTGACGGGTACATTCAGCCAGTGGGGAGCAAGGCCCACTTTCATGCATGCAGCCCTGCCGCGAAGCCTCCATAGGTTAAACCTCAGAAGCATTGTCACCAGAGATGAGCTTCGTTGGATTTTGAGAAACTGGCATTAAATAAACAACAGTACATTAAAGTTTATGTTCACCAAGTAGTTTATCAACATTAGGTAGGTGCACCACCACCTGTAGTTTGTGGAACTACATTAATGAAACCACACATTTCAACACTTGACATTCAAAAGGCAATAATTTGAAAGCTATATCAGTTAAGCAAAAGTGGACTGGGTCTATAGAAACAAGGGCTGAAGAAATCAGTCTGAGTCTGAAGGAAAATCAGGTTGGTATCTCTGAGAACTGAATGCAGATAGAAACTCAGATAGCACTGGTTTCTAAGATTCAGTGACCATAGTAAACGTGGAAAGCTTGGAGAACATTTCTAAATGGTAAAACCAGCAGCTGGCTAATAATGTCCAATTACCTATAAAGCCTGTTTCTGAGGAAGTGCATTTATTTTGAATGTAGCCTTTTCCGGAACAGGTCTGTGTTATTTTCTAAGAAGTCAAAATTAACTAATTTATCTTTCCTAATAATCACGATCAGTGATATTTATGGCATTTCTAATTAAGTAACCAAGTGGGCACGACTGCTAATAAAGAACTTCATATGATTTGGAATGGTGAAGGACTTGGGGAACTCAGGCATGAAGCCCTGCCCTGGGGGGATGCGTCCCCAGAATGACTGCTGGGTTCATTAATGCAGCACATACTCATCATTGCCTGCCACGTGTCAGCTGCTGTACCAGGTACCAGGGTGCACATTCTACCAGAGATTTAAACTGGTGCTGTTCAGAACACAGAGAATAGTGAGGCAGCAAGTCATTAGAGACAATGAGCAGGGGTTCGGAGAAAGAAAATGAGGACAAGACTGAGAGTGGCACAGGTAGAGAAGCAAGAAACAGCAATCCAGTCTGGGAGCAGCGAGGATAGGAAGCAGAGTAGCTAACAGAGCTTTGCAAAGGTCAGAGGGGACCAGAGAACCCAGGGAGGGGACCAAGCCAGAAGCAAAGAAGAGACACAGAAGCAGAGAGTACCTGAGACAGAGTTAACGAGAGGGCTCTGAGCCAGAAGCAAGAGGTGAGGAGAAGCTGAGTCTTCTGGGTCTTTTTTTTCCCCTGCTGAATAGAGCCTTGATTATAGTGTTACCCAATGTCTGATCAATTTCAGTCTATTTTCTTAACATTTCATGGTGAGAACCACACGAAAGCAAAAGGCACCCCAAAGCTAAGAACCTTGAGTCAAGTGTGGAAGAAAAATTCCTGCTATAGCTGCAATTAACACCCCAGTTTAGGTATAATATTGTGAAGGGTGATTTAAGAAATTTTTTAACCATCAGGTTTATTTTAGTTCCCACTCCAGCCCAATGAGCCTAATGTAAGTCCATTTTTTTTTTTTCAGTAACAGCTGTTCTTTTGAACCTTCTGAATAGGCATCTGATTTAGATTTGAAGGAAGTCATTTTAGGAGTCGGTGCAGACTCCCATAAGCGCAACTCGGATAAATCTAAGCCCATGCACCACAGACTTCTTTAAAAAGCAAGAATTCTGGCGGCCAGCAAGGAGTCACAGCTAACTGTTAGATCTAAACCCAGTGGACACGTTTTCCTCTTTCAGACTGTAAATTCAGGCTTAAGTGGTTTTCAAGACCATCTCCTACTTTTGAATTTAATATAGAAAATGTATCTGCAGCACAACTACTAAAGGGGAAAAGCTTCTTTCAATTTTCTTGGATCTCAGCTTCATTACAACTTTGTGGCCTCTGTCGGAGAAAAACATTCTCCCATAATGAACTTTTGCATCATTAAATTGGAAATGAAATAAGAGTTGATGGGAGCAGCCCCTGCATGAACTGTCTGGCTTGCGACCCACCATCTGTTTGCCTGCCTGCTCTGGGGCAGGGTTTTAGGTAAATGCCATAAATAAATCTAGCTTGACCAAGACTACATTTATGTCCCATGCAATTAATATAGAAAATTACAATAGTAAGAGGTCTAAAAAGTCATTCAAGGTATTTTTTTCCATACAGGAAAAAAAAATGGGGCTTTGAGAAATTTAAACACAGCATATATTGACACAAACTCAGTAAAAATGGTTATTTAAATACTTACAATTCCATCTCTATCTGGTGAACCTCTGTAACAAAAAGAAATTGATAGCTATTATGCTAAGGAATCATTCTTGCCACATAGACTAAAGTACAGCAGTAAGAACCATTAACCACTACCCTCCCCTTCCCCAGCATTCCTGCCCTGGTAAACCTGGCTAATGAAAACTAAATCAATACAAATTGGTTGAGTGATATTTAACTGTGGGGTATGTGTATGTGGGAAGGAAATTCTCATTAAAAAGTTGGAGCCCAAAGCCACAAGTGGGTAGGGTAGTGCCTTGGTTCATTTTTGAGAGGAGAGTTTATTAAAGAGACTCCACTCTAGCTGGCTCCATTTAAAACTATCATGAGGCAAGTAAACCAATGTGCTGTCTCACCTGTGTATTTTTAAGAGATGGGGTCTTGCTATGTTGCCCAGGCTGGAGTGCAGTGGCTATTCACAGGCACAATCAAAAGCATACTACAGCCTTGAACTGCTGGGCTCCAGTGAACCTCTGCTCCAGCCTCCTGAGAAGCTGGGATTGCAGGAGAGAATCACTGAACCCAGCCCTTTTATCTTTGCTTCTGTGAATGGTCCTGAACTGCCTCCTACATGAGAAAGCTTCTGTGGTATTTTTCAACTTTATTTTGAGAATTGGTACTTTCCTCCGTATTTCTATGTTTACTTCTCCTTCCATTATAGAAGAGCAGGAAATGGAGAACAACATTTTGCTAAATGGCTCCTTCTGATGACTAAAGCCCAGGGCAGCTATTCTACGGTGGCACCATGCTGCAGTAGTCAAGAGCAAGGGCTTTTGAGTAAGATGAAGCTGGGTGTCCAAATAGTTCTGTGACCCTGAACACTTAACCTCTCTAAGCCAGTTTAAATAAGGTAATATAGAGAGAACTTACAATAGTTCCTGACACATGGTATTCAAAACTGTGAGTTGCTTATAATTCCTTTTCTCTTCCAAGATTTCTCTTCACTAGGAACACGAAACTGCCCACTTGCAGCCACACTGGACTTTAGAGTATTAGAGGTATTTTGGAAAACTGGATTAGAGGAGCAGATGGAGAAACTAGAAGGTAGCCATTGTAATTTTATAACTTCCCATTTTAATTCAGTTTTTAAGAGGCTAAAAAATACAGGGATACTTATTACGCTTGGAAAGGGACCTGCATTATTTGGAAGAAAACCTTAATAAGTGCTTAAGGTGAACTGTGATATCTTGAGGAGTTTGGTGTGGGGTTGGAATCATTCTTCAGAAGGTGCAATCAGGTAAGAGAATTATTGCTTAATGGCAGGGAGCCAGTGAGAAAAGAGAGAGAGAGAGAGCGAGCGAGCAATGCAGAGAGTTGGTGGGATGCCATCTAGACTCCAAGGTGTGATTCCCTTTCCCCACCAACATCCCTTCAAAATTAGCGGAATATTCTACTTGGATTATAATACACTTGACAGAGTGCATATTTTTCATAACTAGTGAGTTCTGTGTCCACAGAGATGCAGAGGTGAATCAGTGATAGAGGGGCAAGAAACAGAGAACATCCTAATATTGAAAGACCATGGGAATTGACAGAAATCTTGAGACTTTTGGACATTACTTGGATGTGGAAATTAACCAGTTTGAAAAAATTTTATTTAAAATAGAACGATAGGAAGAATCTTAGCTGACAAAAGTACTTGTAATGAGCCAGGCGATTGGTTAGGACCAAAGGATAAAAATAATGAAAACATATTCATCACAGAGAGAATGAAACAGGTGAGTAAATCCAGTAGGTTATCATGGTCATAGTAAGCCCAGGCTAGTAGGAGAGCACTGAGAATAGGTACCAATTCATACTCATCAAAGCCAATTCTCTTTTTTATATCTATATACTTAGTCTGCCTGTCTCTCTCTCTCTTTCTCTCTCTCTCTCTTTCTCTCTCTTTCTCTCTTTCTTTCTTTCTTTCTTTCTTTCTTTCTTTCTTTCTTTCTTTCTTTCTTTCTTTCTTTCTCTTTCTTTCTTTCTTTCTTTCTTTCTCTCTCTCTCTCTTTCTTTCATTCTTTTTTTTGTTCTTTTCTTTCTTTCTTTTCCCCTCTCTCTCTTCCTTCCTTCCTTCCTTCCTCTCTCTCTCTCTTTCGAGATGGAGTTTTGCTCCTGTCACCCAGGCTGGTGTGTAATGAATGGCACAATCTCAGCTCATTGTGATGTCTGCCTCCCAGGTTCAAGTGATTCTCCTGGCTCAGCCTTCCAAGTAGCTGAGATTATAGGCATGCGTCACTACGCCCAGCTAATTTTGCATTTTTAGTAGAGAAGCAGTTTCACCATGTTGACCAGGTTGGTCTCGAACTCCTGACCTCAGATAATCCACCTACCTCAGCTTTCCAAAGTGCTAGTGTGAGCCATGGTGCCTGGCCAATATACTGAGTATTTCTTATTAGGACTTCAACTTACTAGGACTTAAGGTCTCTAGATATGAGTATTTCTTACTAGGACTCCAACCTTACTAACGGAGCTGGAAGAGAGGTGATTGCATCAACTTTTGGGTAGGATGTGTTCAGAGGCACTGATCCATGTGGGGATGCCTTTGGGAACCGCAAGCAATAGATACGGCAAAAGCTCAGAGATTGGCCTGGCTGTGGTGTTGCCCACTGTGGATCCAGGTACAAGGTCCTATCAGTAGGGGATCTTAAACGGGAGGCACTTGACCTCATACTTATTGCAGCTGTTGGGATGGTCTTTCACAATTTTTAATCAGAGAAACTGTGATTGTACATAGTGGCACTGCAGTCCTATTCTGATCCTTCGTCTTCTCTACTAATGGAAATGTGGCTCATGTGTCCAATGCAGTCAGTGAGCATGGTGGCTAAGGGCACTGGCTCCAGTGCCAGACTGCCTGGGATCAACCAGTGTCAATTTCCTAGCTGCAGAAGCTTGGGCAAGTTACTTCACCCCTTTTTTTCTTGGTTTCTTTATCTATAAAATAGCCAGCATAACAGTATATACCCCATAGGGCTATTAGAGGATTCAGTGGACTAACAAAAGAGAAGAACCTGAAACAGTCCCTAGAACATAGTAAATGCTCATTAAATGTTTTCTAGAATAATAATTTTTATACACTATAACCCAGGATAGGGAGTGAAGAGATTTTAGCAGCCTCAGACAGTTGGGCATGTGTTCTAATTTCACTTTCTAACCCCCTGAGGTTTTATATTGTATTTTAAAATAATTTTTTTCTTTTTCATGGCAGACTTATTGTATTTGCTGACTTCTATTTTAAAAAGAATCATCTACCATGGAATTTTGGGATCTATTTTTTAAAGTTTCAGTTACCTTTTGTAACTACTGTCTTTTTTTTTTTTAACCCTCCTATTTGTCTGGGTTTTAATTCTACCCATTGATATTTTTTCTTTTCGGTGATGAAAGCACAGACACTGGATTTTAGACTAGAATATGGGCCCCAAGTCTTAGTTTCTGAGTAGCCTTCAGAAAATTACTTAACCTCCTTTGGCACTGATATTTCTCTTTAAAATTGATGTATTGCTGCTAACGTTATTTAATTACTAGGAAGGCTAAAAAGGATATCAGCGCAACATATGCCCTGCACAGGGCCTGCCACTTAGCACAAGCTCTCTTCCCTACCAGCTGCTGCAATGATGATCAAATCAGGAAACTCTGGTCATAAGCCCACTGTACATCTAAGGAGGTTCAATCAGCTGAAGTTGGTTCTGGTGTCTACCCTAGCAGGTTGCTGAGCAACCCATAGTGAGTTGTAGCAGCCCTGAAAAACAGTTTGCATCAACAAGGTTTCAATGATCACAGACAAACATAAGCATTTACTAAAGCTGAAGGGACAGCAAATTGCTAGAGCGCTTTCCCAACCCCTTTGCATTTATGATTTCTTTTCCGAGAATGATATGTGATCAAATTACAGAGTTCATGAAAGCATTAGGGAGTTCATGAAAAGCAAAGGCTTATACTAAACATACTAAACAGCTTGTTCTTTGACCATTACTGATGGTGGAACCAGCTTCAGCTATTTTGCTATCACGTAAGTAATTTGGGACTCTCAAATGATAAGAAGTAAACGAAGGATACTTGGGATTCTTTAAACAAATGTCTTATTAGAGTACCTCAGAGAGATATTTGGCCTCTACCCATAGCTGCGAGGAATAACTCAGTTATTTTAATAACTTCAGAAATGGTGATGGAAGAGTAGTGCTTTGGCTACATGTAAATTAGTGCAGCCTGCCCTGGAGAGATTGTTCAACCTCTTCTCTCTCAAGAAAGCTTTTTCCTTTTTAACTTTCCTCGCATGCCAGAAATCTCTGGTGCAGTCAGTTACAGACATTGTCTTCCTTCAGAAATGGATTTAGTTTCTGTTAACGATGTTCTCCTGAGATCCATCGAATAGTGTCCCACACAACACCTGGCACTACGAATCCTATAATGCCTTCCCTTATATGACTCACATAGTGTCTGGTCCTTTAGGGAAATTCGATTCCATTTAGTATAAATTTCTTTGTTGTTGTTTACAGGTGTGGAAACTGAGGCCCAGCAAAGTAAAGGGTAATTCCCAAAGCCATGGAGTTTGGGCCGTGCTGGGACTACAGCCCAGGTCTTCTGATCTAGTGAAGGCATCGGCACATATTCTGGGTGGTTAATGATTAGAAAATGGCAAACTTCTTAAGAAACAATGTAATTTATATAATCCTCAGAAAAATATTCCTAACTTAGTTATTTAGAAAAATTTGCAGGACAACAGTAAATGTAATATCCATGAAATAAATAGTTACAAAAGAAAATGAAAAAAGAAAATATAAGAACTTAATATTTGGCATCTAGACAAAAAATAACTTCGTCCCCCCAATCCTTTACACTCTTTGGCTTAAAAAACTTTCAAGGTTTCAAGGTGGCCCACTGCCTATGGAAGTAGCCCACACACCTCAGCCTGGTACTTAAGGCCCTTCCTGTCTGGTCCTGGTCTCCTTTCCAGCCTTGCCTTCCATTATCACCTTTACCTGTAACTCCCAAGTAGACAAACTGCCCCATTTGTCTTGTCAATAAATGCCTAGTGGACTTTTCTACCTTTCTGCTTTTGCTTTTGTTGTTCCCTTTGCATGAAATACACATCCTCATCTTCTTGAAGGCCAAACTCAAGTCTCCTCCCCGACCCTGAAGCATCACTGATCATCAATCCAAATATGAGATTTTTCACCCTCAAATTCCCAGGAAATCCCATCTTAGTTGCTTGTAAGGAACTTACACATATTAATTTGTGTCAGTAATAATAAGAGTACCAGTAGCTGCCATTTGCTGAGCATTTACTAAGTATTAGGTACCATATGAGTCACTTCAAATATGTTACCTCATTAGTTGTATAAACAATACTTTAATTTGTGTAGTAGATATTTTGTCTCATGAATCATAAATTCTTAAAGGACAAAGGCTCAGGGAAATACTCAGGATCTTGTGATAAAATTTATGCATGATAAAAATATACAAAATGAAAAGCTAAAGGCAAGAATAAATGTGGCTTTCTTCATTTTCACCTATGCCCATACAACTATTGCTGTTCCCTTTTTCTAACTTTCTTTCAGAGATTCTAGCCAAATGAGGGGTATAATGGGTTCCATTCTGACGTACAGCAAGCTACATCAGATCTGCATTTCTACCTGGTCACAACCACCTGCAGCTGAATAGTTGTGCTCTCCCTACACTGGTCTTGGGCTGGAGTCTCAAGTTCCTGGCCAGTGGACTTCACGTATGTAAGTTACCTGCTTGGCTCCAAAAGGCAACTGAGATTTTGTGTCAGAGCCAAATACTTCTGCAGGAGAATTCAAGATGGTCAAATATGTGGAAGGAAGTTAGTGGAATGAAACTGTTATGTCATTGGACATTTTCAGGGTCTATCAGTGTCTGTGGGGAACTAATTCTCTTGGATATGATCACTTAAATATGTAAAAGCATCCCCATAGTTGTTTCTGGCTTTTGTTTCTTATTCACCGCTAAATAGCCAATCATTCCTGAATTCTGTTGGTTGATTTACAATTCGGCTTGTACAAAATCTTGGCATCTCAAGTAAGAGCTTTGAGATGTTATGTAGTCTACATTTCTGTTTCTGGCTAGGTCTAATCTATCCAAACAGGTGTTTTGTTATTTCTTTAGTTCAGATCATAGGCTCAACCCTATATGTGGAAATGAATTCTTTTTATCCTTCATAAAATTAACAGTCACATTTTCTGCCTCCTGAGACTGCTGGGAAGTATAATGATTTAAAAAGAAAAGAAAGAAACACAAGATAAAAAAACTGAACACGTGATGAAAAATTTTTACCTTTTTAGCATAAATCTAAGAACTGTTTATATTGAATAATTACAATTTACTCAGAAACGGGGAAAGCAAATAGTACATAATATCTGAGAAAACTGTGTGGCAATCTTATATTGACTGTGACAAGAGCATCTCTTATGCAAATAGCTTCTTCGAGGAGGCAAACTCCTAAAGTACATACGTAGAATCAGTGTCCTTTTCTTTCTTCCGTATTCCAAAGGCCTTCCTTGTACGTTTTTTCAATCCTGTGGGAAAACAGCAAAGGGTCAAAAACTCTCTCAGCAACATTCAAGTGAACATATTTTGAAAGTTGTAACACACCAGTTAGACTTGAATGTTTAGAAAGCAATGAAGTTTCTGAAGTTGTATGTATAGGTATGTGTGTTTGCATATTCATATGACTCATTAATACATTTTTCAGTAGTTATTTATCAAGGACTTCACACCATAAGTTCTTAGCACTATAAGCAACACAAGGATGCATGGGTATAGAAAAGATTGTAAGATTTTCTTAGACTACTGTTATTCATCACCCATATTGGGGTTCTGCCAAGAAGTCAAATCACAGATTTAGAAGAATAGCCATTTTCAGGTTAGACATATTCTTTAGACTGGGATAATGCCAAGACAGAGATCATGTGACCGATGCCAAGAGAACTGCACAGATCTGACACATCTCTGTGTCCCGTATTCCCATCTTATCTTTTACTACTTTCTCCAGTCTGTGGCTGCACTGAATTATTAACCATTCTCTGAACACACCCCAAAATTTGCACTCCTGTATTTCTTTCTTTCTTGTGTGGTCCTTGTGATTGAAATGCTTTCCCTATTTTGTGGACATTTAGAATTTCAATTTATCCTTTAAGGCCCAGGACAAATGCCACTCCTTCTGTAGGGCCTCTTAATCCTGGAGGCGTAAGACACTGATTATTCTGTGTTCCCCCCCAAAATGTTGCTCTTATATGTAGGATATATCAAATGGTATCACCTATTAGTTTCTGTGTCAGTTTCCCTAGTAGACTGTGATCCTTTCTTGAACAAAGGCCAAGGCTCTCTCATTTTTAAGTCCCGATAATATTTGTGATTTAAAATGTCTTCCAGGAAGCACCATTCAAGCAGCACTAGCTCTTGGTTCTTTTCTACTCATCCTGTCAAAGCTGTTTGGGTTTCCCACCCCCTACATGATCCATAGTTACAGACATGCCTTCTGCGTCTGTTAGTGAGTATTATTCAAATAAATTAAATGTTTATGTATTCAAACCTTAGACTTGTTATTGGTGGTTTGGAAAGTCTTCTTGAGAAATTGGAGCTGAGAGAGTCACTGATATTTCAGATTTGTTTGGTACTGCCAGGTGGAACAAAGGGAAAAACAATGACAGAATCAGTGAGTTGATGATACGTTTTTCCAAAACATGTGAGTCAGCCCAAACCACTCAGATTATCTGAGTCATTCATTATCTGCCTCTTAGGATACTACTCAAATATAATCTTCAAAATGTCTCTGTTCCGTCTAATTTTGTATTTTAATAGTCATCCATTTAAGACATTTAGGTCTTTAAAATGTCAATTTTTTAAAAACTCCTCCCACATAAAACTATTTTCCGTTACTTACCACATGATGAGTTTATAGGAAAACATATTGACATTTAAAACTACCCACCCATAATATTTAGAAACATCTTCTCCCCTTTTATTTTTTATTTTGTTTATTAAAAATTTCTTTCTCACCTCTAAATGTCTTATTCCCTTATAAGGACAAAGTATCATAGTTACATAATCATCAGTCTATCCCTACAATTTTCCTTGGGTTTCAAGTCTCCTAATTGGCTTTTCTTTGCTTCTGATTTAGCTTTGAGCTCACAATGAATGCCATATTCAGCAATCACCACTGGTTTTTACAGGACTATAAAACCAATGCTATTATCATCTCAGGGTTTCAAGTGTGTTATTTCCTGTAACTTGACCTATGAGATAAAAAATAGCATGCCTTACCAAATATATCAGAAAATATACACACATTTCAGTACTCTTTGTATTAAATTGGTAACAGAATGGGAAATAGTAGTTTTCCATAGACCCTGTGCTGGTTTTGACCACCAAGTTTGGACAATAGCCAACATGAACTAGGTCATGAACATCATGAGTTGTCCACTTCCCAGTGAAAAAAAAATGCGCCGAATCAGGATCCAGGAGGCAGAGAGTCCATTCCCAGCATCAGTTCTAATTGCATAGCTTAATATAAGTTACATTACCTTTATGTTTCAGCCTCTCAGCCTATAACAAATCAGCCAATGATAAGAGACGAAAGAATCTGCACATCTTCACAAAATGCCATGCCTATATCTGTAGCTTTACTTTCACTGGAAATCATGTTTTTAACACATGAAATACACTTATACATAGAATGTAAATAGGAATACACCAAAGATGTGAAATTCTAGAAAAAAATGCCCTAATCAAATTGTTGAATAAGAAAAAAATGTTGGGCCAGGCTCAGTGGCTCATGCTTGTAATCCCAGCCCTTTGGGAGGCTGAGGCGGGTGAATCACTTGAGGTCAGGAGTTCGAGACCAGCCTGGCCAACATGCTGAAACCCCGTCTCTACTAAAAACACAAAAAATTAACCTGGTGTGGGAGCACACACCTGTAGTCCCAGCTACTTTGGAGGCTGAGGTGGGAGAATTGCTTGAACCTGGGAGGCAGAGGTTGCAGTGAGCCAAGATCATGCCATTGCACTCCAGCCTGGGTGACAGAGTGAGACTTAATTTAAAAAAAAAAAAAAAAAGGTTGAAAATATTTTACTTCTTCAAAAGTGGAAAGGTTTAAGAAGTTTACAAAAAATATGAAGGAAACTGAAAGACTAAAGCAAATGAAGTTATGAAAGTCAGTTTTTCATACCATAATGAATCTTTTAGAAGATCCAAGGAGAAAACAATCGCAACAACTGCGTTAAAATTGAGTGAAGAGAGGTGTGCTCATGTCTTTCGAGAATTCATCAAAAAATACTGAAACTCTTCAACAGAGAGCAACAATAGTCAAGGATCTTACAGGAATAACAAATTTAAGACACTATGTTCAATAATCTGATAAGTTTTAAAAACACTATATCCAAAGATTCTCCACTTCAGGTAGTTACAATTACAGTATAATTACATCTGGGGTGGAGCATAAATTTTTTATCAATTATTTTTTTACCAAAAATGGGAGGGCAAAAACTAAGTGTCCTTTAAGATGTGCAATGACTTTTCTCTTGCCAGCATCAAAACAAAGTCATCTAAAGGGAAAGAATTTTACTGTCTTGATAATCTGGGGTTAGAATGGTTCTCTCCCGAGCTATGGAATTGAGAACACTTTCCTATGTGAATCCAAAACTGCTGTAATTCATCAGCCACACTGTGTGTCTGTCCTGTGCCCCTAACTTCTCCACCGAATTTAGATTTCTTTAGCTTCTTTTGGTGTTGTGGGAAACAACCACACACACACACACACACACACACACACAAATTAAGTATAAATGGATTTTTAAAAGGTTGAAAACTTATTTCAAACTAGGCAGCCCGGTTATAATGTTACCAGACAAATGCCATCAATATCTTACCAGATAAGATAAATAAAGCAATATACGTAGAAATAGATAATAGTGATAGTGTCAAAAATACAGAATGGGAAGAAGTTTTGTCATTGGAATACTACCAGCTACCACTGCTGAGGTCCTGCCTATTGCCCAGGTACTGGTTGCATATGTTGCCTCATTTAAATCTCTTACAAACTTTGTGAAAAAGTAGGTGGTATTTTTCCCTAAAGTAGTGAGTCTGAGAGTTTGCCTAAGTTAAGTTTTATTATCTTCATCCCCAGTGAGGAAACAGGAGGCTACTCTTACTCCAGTACTCCCCAGAATGTTGGGGTTATTCAGGGCTTTGTCCTAGGCGCTTCTACATCCTTTTCTGAGCATGATTTCATCCACCAATGTGGTTTCATTCATCATATGTATGCAGAAAAATCCTGAATTTATAGGTGAGACCCAGCACAATCTCATGAACTTCTGAATACAGAGTACTTCTCATACTCAGGCTCCTATAGAGACACCAGATTTCTTCAAAAACCTTCAGACTCTGCTTATAATACATATGTAATAAAAGCTGTAAAGATATGCCCAATCATTTAGTTTCTAATTATCTTGTGAATGAAATTCCTTTTAAAATGAAATAGCTCTCCATCAACAGATAAATGGATAAGCAAAATGTGGCCTAGCCATGCAATGGAATACTATGCAGCCATAAAAAGGAATAAAGTACTGATACAGGTTACAATATGAATGAACCTTGAAAATACTATGCTAAATGAAGGGAGTCAAATGCAAAGAGCCACATATTGCATTATTTCATTTATATGAAATTTCCAGAGTAGGCAAATTGATTAATACAGAAAGCCGATTGGAGGTTGAGAGAGGCTGAGTGAACGGGGAAAGGGGAGTGGCTGCTTAATGAGTACAGGTTTCCTTTTGGGGTGATATAAAGTTCTGGAACTTGATGGTGGTTATGTTGCATGATATTGAGAATGTACTAAATGCCACTGAGTTTTACACTCTAAAATGGTCAAAATGGAAAATTTTATTTTGTTTGTATTTTACTATGATAAAAAAGAAATGGAATAGTTCAAGCCTGATTATTCTGTGACAAGGGAGGACAAGGAGGGGAATAAGTGGGGAAGAAAAGAAAGAAACAAGGCAGATTGGCTTAAAAGTTTGTGGCACATGTTACTGCTTTTGTTTTTGTTTTGTTTTGCCAAAAAAGTTGTCAAATATTTAGTAAAGAAATCAATACAGTCACGAATTCCTGTTCATAGTAACCTTCAGTATCAAGAAAGTAATATTTCCATGAGAATTTACCATAGGACATCCAGCTTTTCTTGCTCATGTGTCAGATGTTTGCAAAAAAGCTTTTCATAAGCAAATGCATTTTTGTCATGATGCTTGCTCCTTTGATCTGTTCTCCTAAAATCACAATATTATATTAATCCCACTAGATGGTGAACTCCATGAAGTCAGCAGCTCCATCTATGCGGGCATCTTGTTTATTTTCACCTCCCCATGTCGCATGAAAAGAACATTCTTTAAAATCATTTGTGCAATTGTATTAAAAGAGAGGCACTATTTCTCAATCCCCTTTTGAAACTGCAAATAAGGCCCCATTGGAAGCTTATGAAGGCAGTTTGTTAGGGCAAAACCTCTATTTTAAAATGAAACA